GAAAAAACACAATAGGGTAGAGTGCTGTCTATAGCCAGTTACAGCATACTCTTAAGCACATCCCTTAGTTTTCCTCAATAGAAATACAAATTATCATCTAATTTTGTGAGGTCTCTCCTTTATTAAGTGATTTTTAAAAAATAACATGTTAACCTCCATTAACTCATCTCATGTAAAGATCAGAATACTAAGATTAAGGACAGCAAGACCCAAATGCCTGTGAAGATAGGAAGTCACCCAAGCAACTCTCTTTAGACAAACTGACATTCTTCCTCACATGAGTTTTGTGAGGTGACAAAATCGAATCTAGCATACTTAGGAAATGTTTTATTTATCAAGTTATCAGACCAAGGACCATATCATTTCCAAGACTAGCTCTCCCCTGAGGAGCTTCACTCTTCAGACACCACACGCATACATGGACCTCTCAAGGTGTAGAATGCAGCCACATCTGGACCCAGCAACTGTGACTCTTTGGATGCAATTCAGAATGAGGAGTCTGAATGAGTTCCAACTTTTTACACTGCAGCTGAGATTTAGTGAATTCTTAAGTCTAAACTTGGAGTTTTAACTTTCTTAATTCTGTGCTTATGATTTGTTCAGTGTATTCTAATTGTTGGAGGAATAAATCTTGCATGTAAACCCAATTATGCCCATTTTCTTTCTTTAGGTTAATCAACATTTAAATGCAGCTAGTCACTAGCCATCCTCTCCAGAAATTCAGATTTTCTTAAGTCAAAGAAAAGCTCTTCAGTTCAAAAAGGCCTGGTAGGAAAATAATCTAAATTAAGGCAATTGTAATTGTTTTCCAAGTCCACCTCTACCAGAAGCCAAATTACATATATGAGATTCTAAGTGAAATAAATACGTTTCAAAGATACTATAAAGAGGTAACACAATTGATCAAGTAAATGCAAAAGGAGTGAGAAATCAGTTTGCTCTTTGGTTGGCCAAATTCAAATAGCAAATTTTGGCTATTGCTTTTTGTCTATTCATCTTACCCCCAGTGCACCCACTCCTCCAACCATGGCTGTTTTTAGATTTTTGATATTTTCTTATGAGCACTAAGTGGGCCTGAAGGTATACACATAGTCAATTTTTTTTTTTTAAACAGAGGCATTTAAATTCATCACTTGGCTCAGGTTTTTCCTTTGTGCCACATAGATTCATTCTGACCCAGAGCTCCTGTAAATAGTCTTATAGGAAGTACCAGTTAAGAATCTCATCAATTTTTCTTTTTTCCATTGATTTTTTTATAGAATGGAAGGGAAGGAGGGGTGAAGAAACATCGACATGAGAGACAAATCCATTGGTTGCCTCCCACATGTGCCCCCACCCCACGGGAGCCGGGGATTGAACCTGCAACCCAGGCATCAAACATGAGACCCTTCAGTGTGCAGGCCAACCCTCTAACCACTGAGCATACCACCCAGCATGAAACTCGACCCAACTTTTTAACCAGTAACATCCAAGGTTTTGAAAAATGCATATTTAGCCATAAGAATAACAATGGAGCTAAGTTTAGGTTTTGCTTTTTTGGTCTCTACTTTGTATCTTGTATTCATGGTTTACAATTCCATTAATCGAACTCACTATTTTTCAAATGTCTTTATATTTAGAGCTTAAGAATGTATTGTCCTTTTTCAAACTTGTTGCCTTGCCATAAACTCTCCCAAATACGCAAATTCCAAACCCAATGCTTACAGTCCTCCCTTTCTGCCACTTGGGGAGTATTTCGACACCATTTAAGAATCCTTAGGTAGCCTGGCCAGCATGGCTCAGTGGTTGGGGTTCAACCTATGAACAGGTCAGTTTAATTCCTGGTCAGGGCACATGGCTCGGTTGCGGGCTCAATACACAGCATGGGGCATGGAGGAGGCAGCCAATGACTATCTCATCATTCATGTTTCTCTCTCCTCCCTTCTACACTGAAATCAATAAAAATATATTTTAAAAAGTATTGCATTAAAATACAATTTATCTTAGTTATCTATAGGTAAGTATTCAATGTGGTTCATGACCAATTATATTTACTATTTAGGTTTAGCTAAACTCATTTAAAAATCATAAAGGGTCAATTAGAAATGATTAATAACATTTGACAGAGTAAGATCTTTAGATAAGTTTTTGAGATTTGTTGGAAAAAAAAATCTTAAAAATCTAACTTGTTATGGTTGCATATGCAATATAACCATCTTTCACTAACAAGTCTTTGATATATGTATATGGAAATATCACAACATAATTATGGTTTAAAGAGCAGGAAAATGAGGTCAGTTTATTGACTTAATTTTCAATGTAATTTACTCTAAATTAACTGTTAACAATTAGGTCAAATGTAAGAATTGTGAAATATGAATGGGTTTGATGTTAACTGGGTGCTGTACCAACACTGCCTCCCTCATCCTCTCAAGCTGTGTGCCAACCAGATTAACTTCTCATTATAAAATATGTACTCCTCCACCTCAAAGTTGGGGCAATACACAGTGCTTATCCATAGAAGACCCAGAAGATATGAAAGACTTCCTTGGGGAGAACTAGACTTTCATTTACCACACCCAAGTAACGAAATGGAGATCACTCCTTGGATACAACCAACCTCCAAGAGTTATCTCCAGTGAAGGTCTCACCCTGCATGACAATCCACTTCACTTTTGGAGAAATCACTTACTCTCAGAGTTGCTACTATGGTCTATTACCCACACTCAATATTAACATCTGTGATATTGCCACTTGAAAATTTCTTCCTCACATCCAGCTCTGAAATCCTGTCAAAACATCTCCTTTACATTTCCACTGCTATTACCATCTTAAATCTTTATAAACTGAACCTCCCTGGCAATCTGGGTACCATTCACTTGGCAAACAGTTATGTGCCAAACACTGTTCCAGGTACTTAAAATATCCCTATAGAAACCCACCCCTCTGTGAAGGTTAAATTTAGCATCAAGAAAACATACAATTAACACACAACGAAGTAAACTACAAATATTACATTGAAACAGAGTAAGGATATGCTAGGTTGGGGGTGAGGAGTGAGCACAAGAGGGTGGTCAAGGTGGGCTTTTGTAAAATTTGAGGTCATTGGTGAGTCCTAAGACAACTTCCAAAGGGAAAGATAATTTGAAGCCTTAGGGGCAGCAACATTGAATAGAAAGGTCAGTTCAGTCAGTGTAAAAGTAAGGGTAGGTTCAGTTTAAAAAAGCATTCTGGCCCTAGCCAGTTTGGCTCAGTGGATGGAGCATCCGCCTGTAGACCAAAGGGCACGATTCTGGTCAAGGGCACGTATCTCGGTTGCAGGTTCCTCCCCAGCCTGGGCCATAGATATTTCTGTCTTTCCCTCTCTTCTGCTCACTCTAAAAATTAATGGAAAATTATCCTTGAGCAAGGATTTAAAAAAAGGCATTCTGGCTGCTGCTGAAAACATGGAGGAACAAAAGTAACCAGTTAAAAGACTATTACAGCCCTAGCTGGTATGGCTCAGTGGATAGTCAGCCTGCAAAGAGTCCCAGGTCCCTTTCCAGGCAAGGGTACATACCCGGGTTGTGGCCTCGATCCCCAGTAAAGGGCATGCGGGAGGCAGCCAATCAATGATTCTCTCATTGATGTTTCTCTCCCTTCCTCTCTGAAATCAGTAAAAATATATTTAAAAAAAGAAAAGACTATTACACCAATCCAGGCAAAATATACAGGGATTTTTGTTTCATTTCTACATTATGAAAAATTTCAAAACTTTATATAAGTAGGAATATTATAATGAAGCCCCATCTAGCTTCAACAAATTATCAACTTGGAAATAACTTGTTTCACCTAAAATGCTATTCAATGCCTACCCCAGTCCCACCTAAAATACTTCAAAACAAATTCTCGATTTATCATTTCATCCATTTCTTAAACACCTAATAATTATAATCATCAAACCAAACAATATGTATTTGAAGTGTTGACACATGAAATTAGGAGATTATGGAATGTTATCAGTTTGTTAAATATCAAAGACTAGGACTGTGATGCCAAACCTATGACACACGCACTCATTTTTTTGGTTTATTTTTCTTTGTTAAATGGTATTTAAATATATAAAATAAATACCAAAAATATAAATCTTTTACTATGGTTGCAAATATCAAAAAATTTCTGTATGTGACACAGCACCAGAGTTAAGTTAGGGTTTTTCAAAATGCTGACACGCTGAGCTCAAAAGGTTCGCCATCACTGGACTAGGATATGAAAGTAAATAGATGACGAAGGGTATAGGGTAAAGGATAACATGGAGAGGACCTTGGAGCACAGCAACTATCCTATATAATAAAGAGCTAATATGCTAATTAGACCGGACTGCAGAACAACCTTCTGGAACGACCAGTGGGTGGGGCTGCAAGGGCTGAGCCCCTTGCATGAATTTCGTGCATCAGGCCTCTAGTGTTTATCATAAACACAAATTAACTGCATCTCCCAATACTTACTAAGGGTGTACCACTTTGTCTCCCTTCGCAGAATAAGTTACTGGTATACAGACAAATAATTCAGACACACTTGCCTCAGATTCAAATTCATGCCTTTGCAAAATTAGATTACCTTCAGGCCACCCCCCAGAATTCTACATCCAATGATAAACAGCTACATAGTGTTGCCTGTCACTGGTATATTCTTTTTTTTTTTTTAATATATTTTATTGATTATTTACAGAGAGGAAGGGAGAGAGATAGAGAGAAACATCGATGAGAGAGAAACACCGATCAGCTGGCTCCTGCACATCTCCCACTGGGGATGTGCCCGCAACCCAGGTACATGCCCTTGACCGGAATCAAACCTGGGACCTTTCAGTCCGCAGGCCAACGCTCTATCCACTGAGCCAAACCGGTTTCAGCCACTGGTATATTCTTGCCTTGATAATTCTTTCAACAAAAGAAGTCACTCTTCCCATGAAGTCTTACTAGAAACTTAACTGTTTACCAGCCAAATAGTTGGAAAGAATTATCAGTTTAAGAAAAAAAGTCTCAAATCAATACAAGGCTTTTATTGTACATCTTTATAGTTTGACAAATGTGGCAAATCATTCGGCATCTCGGTGTTTCTATAGCTGGACAACTGTAAAAAGAAATAAAAATGACTGTAAATCTCCATCAAAATCCTTGCCCAGAAAAGTTCTACTCTAAATATAAAACATAGATTCACATTTTAAAATGTGAATGCAATTTCATTTATTATCTGCCAAATTTACTGTTTCAGATTGCAACTCATTTCTGCCACTGTAACTCATTAAGTCTTAGTAAATTAAGATACCCCCCAAGTAAAGCAGTAATAAAACTTAAGACACTATAAGAACCTACCTTAGATCTTATTCATCAGCCTGCTGAACTGTTCCCTTTTCAGAAACATAGATACCATCCAAAAATTTCCTGATATCCTTGTTTTTAACTGTTGTGGCTTGCTGAATCAAAGCAGCTATAAGAGATAAGGCAATTACTTTACCAGCGAAACCCATTTAAAACCTGAGTATTTTGAGGAAAGCTTTTAATCCACAATTAAAAAAAGCTCACCAAATGAACAGAATACCATATATTCAACTATAATATTTAGAAAAAAATTATAGGCATAATAAACATACAAACCTGAATTTGATACAAGTTCAATGTCATTTCCTTCAAGAATCAACTCATCTTTCTGGGCTTGAGATACTGAACAAGCAACGCCTAAAAGGGGAGAAGGTATTTGCATAGTGTCAACATATAATCAGATGTGCAGAGAAAATATTTAATTTAAAAATATTTAAATCAAGTAGCAATTTATTCCATTTAAAATCTTGTTTGTGTATCTGCTTGAATGAATCTCTCCCATAGTAGTTACACGCTGATTCAATTAAGGAGTAGAGAAGATGACATTTAGCTAGTACATTTTAGCTATAGAAAGCTTGTATTCCCATCCCTCCAGACCCCAATGGAATAAAAAGCACCGAGAGCTTATAAGCTTTAAAATTTTCTACACCCTATCCAGTGTGACTCAGTGGTTAGAATGTGGACCCTGAACAATAATGATCTGGGGTTTCCCAGTCAAGGGCACAAGGGAATGTACCTGGTTTGCTGCAGGTTCGATCCCTGGCCAAGTCTAGTCAATTCAGCAAGCAAGCAATCAATAGTGTTCTCTCTCTCTCTCACCCTTCCCTCCCTTCCACTCTCTTCAAAAAATCAATAGAAAAATTATCTTCGGGTAAGAATTAACACACAATTTTCTAATGCTTCAGTGTTTATGTATCAGGCAAGAACTGCTCTAAGTGCACTTCAAATTTAGCTCATGAGATGTTCCCAATTTTACAGATAAGGAAAATGAGCTACAGAGATAACTGGCCCAAGGTTGACTGTGAGGCCTCAGAATTGAACCTAGGCATTCTATGCTATTAACTGCTATCCAAATAGTCTTTTTTAGGATTTCAGTTTGCAAAGCGAATTAAACACAACTACCATGCCCTGCAAACTACCCCAATGCAAAAGCCTTCAGGAATTGCAATTGGTATAAAGCCTTTAATTAGTACCAAGAGTTATTATAAGCATCATCAAAACAGACAATTCTGAAATATATTTGGTTGTATTCATAGCTAACCCAAACTACCAGCCTTCACAAGTACAAAGGAAATATTTCTGAACCATCAGAAGGTATCCACATACCTGACCTCATCCGAACTCTGCGGATGTATTTTTCGCCCAAGAAATTTCTAATTTCAACAAGAGAACCATTCTCCTGAATAACGACGTTGATGGGGAAGTGAGCGTACACAGACCTCATCTTGTAACGGAAGCCCTACATTAAGAAAACAATTAGCAATGCTGAGAAATTTGAAAGACAAGAAATCGTTTTAAAAATTTGTAAGATACTTATAATTTCAAAATAAAACAGTCCTCACATAGCCCTCGTCAAGGTTTTATAACTGTCACCCGAGCCAAGCCTTACAAAAATTTGATACACAAACATGTTTCAGGACTGTAAAGCTCCTTAAGGAAGCATTATGTATTTTTTCACTTGGAGTTTACATACATATTATTTTGTCTTAGTTTCAGGTGTACAACATAGTGGTTAGACAATCATATACTTTACAAAGTGTCCCCCAATATTTCCAGTACCCACCTGGCATAGTTATCACATTACTGACTACATTAAGGAAGCATTATTTTACTACCTCCTGTGCCCACAGCAATCAATGCTAGCTTCTTTTAATAAGAAACCCCAAGTCCTTTACCTTGGACATAAGACTAACATTTACTGAGTCACTAAGGTAGGATAGATGGCAAGAATTGAGGATATTAAGACAGGCACTCTGCCCTCAAGGAACTTACTAGGTTGGGAGCAAGGGGTAAACAAAGGGAGACATGGCAAGATAGGCTTATAATGGAGCCAGTACAAGTTGCCATTATCAGGTGTACGCTAGGACAGACTTTTAACTAAAAGAAAAGCATTTCAGCAAAGACAGAAGCATCAATTTTATTTTAAAGGCCAGGGAGAGGGATTTGGAAGGAGAATAGTGATATCAAATATGCTTTTAGGGAAATGAACAGGGAGCTCAGAAATCAGACCCATCTTTTCCTATCCCTATCAAGAGGCCTTGGTGATGCAAGGCACACCACAAATAAATCAAAATCTACCCGATGTGCTACAATTTGCAATAAAAGCAAAACAAAACACACCCTCAGCCCCACTAAGACCATCGGGTCTTTCCTTGCATCGATCACTTAATCCTGAACACTTAAAGGAGACCCTAAGTAAACACTTTTACTAAGATCACCTGTTCCCACATTCTAGAGCTCAGAAATTTCAGTAAATCACATGCATAATTTATTCCCTACAGCAGACACTTATGCTGCCTCAAGTACAGCCACCCCGTAAAAAGTTGTCTGACGGATTTGCTTACCAGTGTAACACCCTTGATCATGTTCTGTACATGACTGCAGATAGTGCGAACTGTGGCCAGTTCCTTTCTATTTCCCCACCATTTGTCAACCCGGAGCTGTAACAGAATAAAAACTTTAGCAGATTCTTTCCAGTAATAAGTAACTTGGAAGAAAAGTCCATTTACGCAGAGAATTACAATACATTCTAACATGAGGCCTAATTAAAGCACATGCTTTTCAACTGGAAAGATGTAACCACATATAAAGCCCTCAGTAATTAACAGTTATCACTGTTCACCCACCACAGGTACACAGTTTAACAAAGGAACGACAACCCACTTCACTTCTAGAAAGCTAAAATGCTAAGTGTGAAGAAGTCTACTGCCCGATTCCGAAGACTCTTACAAAAACAATCCCGAGGAACTTGCAACAGTTGTTAAGACCTGCCACTACCGAGGGCTACCAGCATGGAGCTTTGTTTATAGTCCCCTCTTCAGGAAATTGGTTCTCCAACTTCGCTAAAACTACCTACAACTTTTGACACCAAATTTTCAGCTAAAACATTAAACCTCAGTTCTGTCATTTTTAAAGCAGCCAAATACGATGTTATTAAAGCACAACCTTCCAAATAAGCCATGAAGGTGTCAAACACACACACACACACACACACAAACCTTACCCTCTTCTTCTTCTTTCCCAGGAGACTGAGCTCTACATTGATGTGGTTGAAGTCCCTCCGCAGGGTGCCCCTGGGGCCCTTCACAATCACCGTGCGCCCCTTCAGAGTGATGTCCACTAGGAAAGAACGCATTGGTGAGGCGGCGGAGCCGGGGACACAGCGCGCAGTAAAGGCGTAAGAAAAAGACCAACGTCAAGTCCCCTACCATTTTCTGGGATGTCCACAGTCTGATTGCTGAGAATGGTCTTCATCCTGAAACACAAACACTCGGGATAACCAGAGACCTGAGCAGGGCCACTTTCCGCCCAAACTACCCTGCCCCGGTGTCACATCTATCGGAGACCGGCAGGCAAAAACCCTGGGGAGGTCTCGGGTGGACCCACCGGGAGAGCGGCGCCCCGTGCGTGCCGGCCTGCGAGCAGCAAGCCGGTGTCCCGAGGCCCAGCGGACCAACTCCGACCCGGCGCCACCCTGGGAGCCCTATCAGCGAGGCGCCATCCCGGCAGCGCTGCGGGGCGCGGGTAGGCCCAACAGCCGGGACAGAGCTCGAATCCCAGTGCCGACAAACCCAGATAGGGCCCGCCGCGCGGGGGAACAGCCAGGATAAAGCCTCCGAGCGCCACACCGGCGCCGCTGGCTCTCCCAGGGCCGATGGCTTCAGATTCCCAAGGCCCACCGAATACAGACATAACCTCACCTCGCAGTAGATGCGGCAAAGAGGAAGCGTCTTTCGTCATCACGTTCTTGTAGCCGTAAGGGCCCTGCGTATGACGTCATGAGTGCGCGACGCCACTCGGCTAAAGCAGCCAATCGGGAGCCAGCTTGAAGTTCCACCGGTTCAGTGGTATTTAAGGTCAGCTGTCACAAATACCGAGAGGATTTTTCACCTATTTTTTCCTGGTAACTAGATCCCGGGACCCTGCCGGAAGACGGAAGAGGGAGATGTCTCTACGATGCGGGGTAGTGGTCCGCATCGTGAGACCCCAGGTGAGCGGCGGGATTTCAGGGTGCGGGTGTGGGGTGGGGGGCTCCATTCTCTTCAGTGCGCCCAATAATAAGGCCAACAATTTCTGATCATTTACTTCTACCCAGGCACTGTTATAATCTTTTTTCTTTTTTTAATGGGAGCAACAAATTGCTCTATTCTCGTGGCCCTCAGGATAACATAATATGTGCTGCTTCTTTTTAAAAAAATTATTATTGTTTTCAGAGAGGAAAGGAAAGGGAGAGAGAATCATTGATTGGCTGCCTCCTGCCCCACCCTCCCCTGGGGGGTCTAGCCGAAACCCCTGCTGGTGCCGTAACCGGGAATGGGCCCGCCCCACCACTGACTGAGCCCTGCCCGCGGGGCTCTAATCTTTTTTCACGTGGTGTCATTTAATGCTCCCAACACCCCTGTGTGGTACAGTCTCTGGTACTGGTTTCTTTGTAGGTTCTCTGGCCCACGCTGAGAGCTTTTCTCTCTGTTTATCACTGAGTTGAACCCTGCACTTTTTGGAGCATTTATAGGAGCACTGTGTTGAGCACCCCTTATTTACTACTACAGGCCCAGTGTGCGAGATTCTTGCCCTGGGGTGGGAGGTCCCCTCAGCCCAGATTGTAAGAGGGCACAGGCCAGGGAGGAATCGGGAAGTTGGCCAGCTGGGGAGGGACCTGGGAGGGCTCCAGGGCCTGGCGGGCTTATCCCTGATTGGCTGGACCCCAGCAGCAAGCTATGCTACAGGTTGGAGCGTTTGCTCCCTGGTGGTCAGTGCACCTCATAGTGAGCGGTTGAGCGGCTTTAGCATATCATTAGCATATTAGGCTTTGATTGAACAGATGACCGGACACTTAGCATATTAGGCTTTTATTATATAGGAAGCATATCAGGCTTTGATTACATAGGATAGGATGTACTAGACACCACTCTGGACGCTGAACACACAAACCTGTGCTATAGGCTTTCCCAGAGACAAGGACAAGTGCTGTAGCAATCATGCAGCACCACTAACAGACGCTCTTCTTAAATTGTTGAAGATTCTTTTGCATTAGATGTACTGACTAATGACTTTTGCAGTGTTTGGGCTATCTTGTCACGTTCGTATTCACATCTAGAAGCTAGTGGTTTCTTATGGTCAACAAATGTACAGTTGACCCTTGAACAACAAGGGTCTGAACTGCAAAAGTCCACTAATGAGGTGATTTTTTTCCCCCTATCTGCATTTGGGAATCCCGGTGGGAAGGTAGGATTGTATGCGTTGATCCAGTTCGTTTTATACAGGGGATGTGAGCATCCTCAAATTTTGGTATCTGCAGGCGGGTGGGGAGAGGGGGTATTAAATGGTAAGTAAATTATTCCAAACCCCACTAAATAAATGTCATAACGAACTCTTTAGGTATTTGGAAAATATTTATGCAGCCCAGTCAGAGCAGTAAGTTCCTTGCCAGATAAAAAAAAGGAATTTTTAAAAAATGGACCAGACCTTCAAGATTTTGTGTCTGGTGATCTTGCAGACAAGAGCAACTGGGATGAATATAAAGGAAACTTAAAGCGCCAGAAAGGAGAGAGGTAATTGAAATTTTGAGATCATTTTAATGTCCAATTCCTTCATCTTGCATTATTTTAAGATATAACCAAACCTTAGAGTATATTTTTAATCAGACTTGTTAAATTTAGCTTAAAATCATTAAAAGGAAGTGATAACAGACATAGAATAGGTAAGTAGTTGAAATGCTTTTCTCTGTGCTCTTTGATAATTTTCCTTCAACCTTTCTAGGATGAACCGTCCTACACCTCCATCTCCTTTTTTCTATTCATCATCAAATTTCTTCAGAAAGTGAAGGTTATTACCTTACTACTAATCTATTAGACCTTGTTAAATTTTTCATTATAATTGGGTGTTGATGATCTAACTTGTGCTTCTCGAAGTCTATGTACATATGACCTATGGATATCTTGACTTAATTTAAAAGAATGGTGAGGGGATTTCATGCAGAGGACAAATTGTTTTGCTGATACTTTACCCAACAACTTCTAGATCACAAGTGGGTGGAAGTCAAGAGGAACCTGAGGATACATAGTCTTCACTCCAAATTTCAGATTTTTCTCATTTAATAATCAACATAAAAATCGAGAATATAGCCGAAACCGGTTTGGCTCAGTGGATAGAGCATTGGCCTGTGGACTGAAAGGTCCCAGGTTCGATTCCGGTCAAGGGCATGCACCTGGGTTGCGGGCACATCCCCAGTGGGGGGTGTGCAGGAGGCAGCTGATCGATGTTTCTAACTCTCTATCTCTCTCCCTTCCTCTCTGTAAAAAATCAATAAAAAATATATTAAAAAGAAAAAAATCGAGAATATAAAGTACAGCAGAAAATCCTCCTTAATCTGAAAAAATATAGAATTTTTTCATTGGGAAATGAGATGTTCAAAACTTCCTCATTCTTTTTTATTAGGATGGTGTTATTCTGTGCCTTTGCAAATGATAGGCATGAGTATAGTGCCCTGTCAGACACAAATATCAGTGTTTCCTAAAGTGTTTGAGCAAGCCTAAATTTGAATCTCTGTTCTTTCTTCTATGGCAAAAATTACAAGTTAATTCAGAATAATGGGGGGGAAAACCTCTTAACCAGGAATTAATAGATCAACATATGATTATTAGATGAATTAATAGATCAAAGCTGTATGATTATTTGGGGATAAGTTTGTTAATGGATAGTTTTCATTTTCCTCAGGTTAAGACTACCTCCATGGCTAAAGACAGAGATTCCCATGGGGAAAAATTACAATAAGCTGAAAAATACTTTGCGGAATTTAAATCTCCATACAGTAAGTTGTCAAAGTGTTAAATATTTCTCTTAACCAAAAACCATACATTTTCTACATGTGTAACTTAAAAATTAATAAACTACATAGCAATAAAAGTAAGTAAAGTGTTTAGGATAAATTACTATTAATAATGGAAATAAATTTAAAAATTATTTTCCTTACAAAAGAAACAAAAAGTAATTGAAGCCCTAGCTGGTTTGGCTCAGTGGATAGAGTATCAGCCTGCGGACCAAAGGGTCCCGGATTCGATTCTAGTCAAGGGCATGTACCTCAGTTGCAGGCTCCCCAGCCCGGGCCCTGGTCAGGCTCATGCAGGAGGCAACCAATCAATGTGTTTCTCTCACATCAATATTTCTCTTTGCCTTTCCCTCTATCTTCCACTCTCCCTAAAAATCAATGGGAAAATATCCTCCAGTGAGAATTAAGCAAAAAAAAAAAAAAAAAAAAAGTAATTTCTTAGCTTCTCATTTATAGTAGGGGGAAAAAAGATTTTCCTGCATCTTAGGCAATGAGGGTTTGTTTGTTTTATATTACAAGTTAAGAACATGCTTCTAGGAAAGAGTATAAAGATAAATGTGAAACCTCATTTACATAATCCCAAATGTTAACTATACCACTTTGGTAACTGTTCAATATGTATCCTTACAAACCTTTTCTTTGCACATATAAAATGTATACATTCATATAGTTTTTAACTTAATAAAGATACAGTTTGGCTACTTAACAGCATTTTTAAATAGTGAATTTCTTCATAAATATGTTGTAAAGATATACAGGTAAAATGCCTAGTCACTCATTTGTTCAATTGGTAAATATTTTCAACCTGGTTGTATTCAGTTCCCTTTTGCTCACAGGTGTGTGAGGAAGCTCGCTGTCCCAATATTGGAGAATGTTGGGGAGGTGGAGAATATGCTACTGCTACAGCCACAATCATGGTAAGGCCAGTCTCAAACTCTAAAGCTTTAGTCTAGAAATTGAAAAGAAATGTTTTATGTCTTTCTCCTAAAAATAGGCATTATGTGCCTCTGATTAGATTTTTCATTTCACATGGATTTTTGTGAAATGCATAAAAAAAAAAAAAAAAACCTGACAAAATAAACCAGCCTGTTATGATCTCTCCCTTCTCTGAATAAATCTCTGAATATATTATTGATTTTTCCATCTGTCTGACATTTAATCATGTGCTGTCTTGAGCTATATCTTCTATTAAGTTTTGGAAATGTTACTTATGGTACTGAAATTCTTTTTCCCCCTAAACAACAAGAATTTATTTTTCTCATGGGCTTTTGGTTGGCTGGGGTTCCACTGACCTTGACTGAGCTAAGCTGAACTCCAGGAAGTAAGTTGGGTTCAGGTCTGCTCTACAGAGCTTTATTTACTTTGGACCAGCAGCTCTTCAGGGCATATTCTTATGGAGAATGGAAGGAGTACAAAAGGGTAAGCCAACCACCTATGCACATTTGAGCTTTCTGCTTGGTCATGCCTGCTATCATTCTATTGGTCAAATTAAGTCATATGGCCAAGCCAAACATCAGTTGGGATAGACACAAAAACCCCTCATCCAGTGTGTGGGGATTGGGGGGGGGGGGGGGTGACCTGCAAGTTACATGGCAAATGGTGAGATGTATAACCTTAATTTGGTTGCCTAAAAATTGGGATTAACAGTGCAGTCTACCATATTTATCCAGAGGAGTGTGGATATAGAGGTATTGAGGTTAACCTGTATTATGATGTGCAACTGAGAATTCATACTTGTCTGGAAAGGTCTGATAAACCATTGCATTGTACCAGCTGGAGGCTGTTCACTTGAGGAAGTGGGGATTCTTATGAGATAGAGCTCCTTCTTATAATGCAGAGCCAACCAGGAGCTTATCCAAGTTACACAACCTCAGTTCTTGAAGGAGTAATTCTGAATACTCCATGATGGGGATCTCTGGTTTCACCCCTTACCAGGTCCCCTTTCCCACTGTTGACTCATAACTGGTTACTGGGGAGAGTTCATTGTTTCATTAAAACTCTGTGAGAGCCCTGACCAGTTTGGCTCAGCGGATAGAGCGTCGGCCTGCGGACTCAAGGGTCCCAGGTTCGATTCCGGTCAAGGGCATGTACCTTGGTTACGGGCACATCCCCAGTGGGGAGTGTGCAGCGGGCAGCTGATAGATGTTTATCTCTCATGGATGTTTCTAACTCTCTATCCCTCTCCCTTCCTCTCTGTAAAAAATCAATAAAATATATTAAAAAAAAACCTCTGTGAGACATTGGGCCTAAGGATCACTGCTGTGAGTCCCCTCTGAGAGGGTTAAAGTGGGAGAGGAGCTTTCTCCCCCAAACTACAACCCCTACAGAACATCTGCAATGGCTGTGCTTGCAGCGGGTAGACATGGTGTTGACCTGTGGCAGCAGCAGCAGTGTCCTGGAGAAAGCGATACCCACAGAGAGCAGATTATTAACTTTTTATGTGTTTTCTGTTTCATCTATTTAACAAGAAGGAGCTGTGCCTTCTATTTAATTTCCACAGAGACCTGCATATTGATGTTCATTAAATATTTTCTTTCTTTTAAATCATTTTATTAATACTAAATAGATACAAAAGAATCTCTATAACTTATGTGTAAGAATATCAATATAGCAAATAACCCAATAGCTCCAGTTTGAGAGTAGAACATTAGCATTATCTTCGAACCCGCCTATGCATTCCTTGTGGATCGCATCTGTTGGCGTCCAGCCCCAGCAGGTCCAGGGGTTCCCAAAGGTGTGAACGGAGTCGGCGAAGAATAAATGACACGGAGGCAGCATTCAGTTGATCATCATAGCTAGGTTCTCTTTATTGTCCTGTTACATCTGTATTTATATCATTTGATCCTATAAGCATGCCTCTATAATCACATCATGGTATGTTTTGGGTAACCTTCTACAGTTCCTTGTTTCATTTCCATAGTTTCTTATATGACCTTTACCAAACATCCTGTCTCTATCTAGTTCTGTTGATTTTAATCTTGTCTAGGTTAATCTCTGTGTTCCATTATAAGGGCTATTCCAAGGTCGCTGCTCTACTGATAAACTATAAGGAAGTGACAGAAGGAGATTATCCTACCCAGTAAAGGTTATGTCCTCCCAGCCTTGCTGCTTGCCTTCCCTGGGACTGCCCTGTGTCGGTGGATCTCCAGGGGTATAGGCTTTGGTGCTTTCCCTGGTGGGCAGACCCCTGGGGATGTGGGCCCAACAAGTCCCAAATTTATTGCCAACAATCTTAGTCCAAGTTCTTCATAAGTAGTACATGGTATTTCTGTAACACTAGGGGGATTCACTGATTCATTCTCTTCCTTAGTCCTATTAATCCCTAACCTGGGGAAACAACCTTTCTCAGGGAGGTGGTCCTTTTTAAAACACATAGCGCTAAGAGGGGGAGCAAACCATATGCCATATACGCCAGGTCCCTTGAAACATAAGCTGTGCAGATGTTTCTTCCCTGCAGTGACTGTGTCAAGCAGCAAGGGTGGACCGGCTTCCGGCACGCATCCCGTTTCTTTTTCCCTTAACACCATTTTTAGTCCTGAGTTTATCACTTCCTATTTTTTTCTCGTTTTACCACATTATATTTGTGTTCCTTAACTATATTGCTTAGCTTTGAATGGTTCAAATTTCTTATAAACAGAGTCAAATTGTATTCATTCTTTGTAACTTTATCCTCTCAATATTATATTCTTGAGGGTCATCTGTCTACTTGATTGAAATGGTAACATCTCTATTTTAGTTGATGGGTGACACATGTACAAGAGGTTGCAGATTTTGTTCCGTTAAGACTGCAAGAAAGCCACCTCCGCTGGATGCCAATGAGCCCTACAATACTGCGAAGGCAATAGCAGAGTGGGGTCTGGATTATGTTGTCCTGACGTCTGTGGATCGAGATGGTTAGTGTCATTATTACCTCTTCCGGAAATTTGCTCTTACCAATTTGTGGCATCACCTTGAGCAGTGGGCTCTCTTGTTTCTAGATTTGCCTGATGGAGGAGCTGAACACTTTGCAAAGACTGTATCATACTTAAAGGAAAGGTACTTGTGTAATTTAAGGACTGTTTTGGTCTCATATAAGTTCAGTATGGTCTTTACTTCAAAGCAGTGGTATTAACTTTTTTGGGGTGGGGGTGTTATAAATCCCTCTGATAATCTGCTGGAAATTATCTGCCAGAAAAAAGCATATGTAAACATACAGATACATATTTGCAGAAATTTTAGGGATTTGGAGACATGAGTTTATTCATGAACCTTTGGTGCATAGAGCCCCTGCTTTGAATTTGAGTGCTAGTCTAAACTTCCTTTGAGTAATTTTAAAAGAAGTATAAAGCTATAGTCTTCCTAGCACTGATTTTGAATAAATCATCATCTAGAAGGAATAAGGATGAGATAAGCTCCCACATTGTAAAAATATGTAAGTCTTGATGTAGATTTTATCTGTATTTATATGTCCTTGGAATTTTACCCATAATCCACATTTTTTCGATTTTAACCTCGTCCATTTAAAAAGATTTAAAAAGGGAGTTATGCCTATTTCCTATAGCTCAGTGCTAGTCTAGCACCTACATACTTAGTAAATGTTTCTTCAATGATTCCTGTAATATTTTCTACTTAATATATTTTATAATTCATTTAAAAAATTTTTGTTTGCAACCCACTAAATTGATTTCACAAACTACTAATGGGTTTCAACTTGCAGTTAACAAACAGTGAGTTATAGGATGTGTTCTTTCAATATCTTTTATATCCATGAAAGGGCATATTTTTTTTACATCTATTCTCTTAGGAAACAGCTCCCAAAACTTTGCAGTTGGGTTTGTGGAAAAATTTGTCAGCTGTCCCGGTCATTTCTGCTGCTGTCAGAGAAAGCAGCTCTATAAGCTAGTTCACATTCAATGCTTGAATGTATAGATATAGCCAATATAAATAGAAAGATTAATATTTAGCTTACATTCTATTTAAGCAAAGCTCAACTTGATTCAGCATCTCAGAATAGCTTTTAAAGCCCATAACACTTGTGAAATATTTGCGAGGACAGTCCTATTGGATGAATTTTAAAAGAAATAAAAATCAAAGCAATCAAATAATGTTTACATTCACATAGAGATATCCCAATTTACTTTCTAAAAAATATTTTATATTTAACGTTTTAATATTTATATTTTAATTCCTAAAAAAATACATATTTTTTAAGTGCCTTCTTAGTAATGCTTAAAAATCTGCACAGTCAAAATGTATCCTGGTTGTCCTTTGCTTACAGGTGTGTTTTAGCCACTGTGTACATATTATTTGATGTTCTGGATTTATTTTTTCATTAAACAGTTCAGATATAAACATTTGTATGTTCATGCTTTTTGAGGCAGTGTTTCTAAAGATTCCTGTGTTGAAACTGATACAGAATGTGTAGGGTGATTTCTGTTTTGAGCAGCAGTTATGTCAGTTCTTCTCCTCAGTTTAATGCTTATCTTTTTTTCCCTTAGGAATCCAAAAATTCTTGTGGAATGTCTCACTCCTGATTTCCGAGGAGATCTTAAAGCAATAGAAAAAGTCGCTCTGTCAGGATTAGATGTATATGCACATAATGTAGAAACAGTTCCAGAATTACAGAGGTGATTACACATACAGAGTAATGTTGGAATGTTTTCTCACTTTTTTCAAAGGAGAACTTTGTAATAGACTTTTATAAAGTGAATTTTTTAAACAAAAGCAACGTAAATAAGCCTGTTACAGAAAAATTAGATAATAATGCCAACGAAAGAATGTGATCATCACCCATAATATTTCTACCCAGTAATATCAGTTTCCAACATCCAAGTATAAATATCATATTTATGCATGTGTATGTTTTGTTATACACACATAATGAGCATCTTTTTTTCTTTTTTTTTGATACTATCTTATTACAAGTGCCAATGAGTTATTTTTTCAAAGAACAGTGTTAAAAAAAATTACACAAGAGCAAATACTTTGATTATAATTCTAAAAAAACAAACAAAAAAGACTATAAAATACATTTGGCATTAAGATATGCAATAAATGATGCCAAAGAAAAACTGGTATCATTCAGATGTATTTTAAAATCTCTTTTAAAAAGTAGACACTATACTTTACTTTTTCTAAAAATTTTAGTGGGTAGGAATAATTATAGATTGTTATTCCACATTATGACTATGTTCATATTTCAAAAAAATAAAAATTATTTTAACCTTTAACATTCATTTTTATTTTAGTAAAGTTTTTGATAATGGTTTTGTTAGTTTATAGACATTATACTGTGTTATAGAATTTGAAAGAAATATGATAAAGAATAACCATCATTTCCACTAAATTATAAACATTAGGGAGCATAATTTAAATTCAGTGAAGTACCTTCAGAAAATAATGACTTTCTGTATTACCAGTTTTGTGGTTATTTTTTAACTCATCAATTGGTTACCTCTCTTCTCAGTGAACTGGTCTCTGGTTAAAAATAACAACCACAACAACAGATCAATTACCCAAAAATAAAGGTTGCTTTTGATTTCAGATGAATGCTGGTTTAACATCAGCAATTTAAAAAATATATTTTTTTATTGATTTCAGAGAGGAAGGAAGAGGAAGATATAAACATTAATGATGAGAGAGAATCATTGATCAACTACCTCCTGCAAGCCTCCCACTGGGGATTGAGCCTACACCTGGGGCATGTGCCCTGACCAGGAATTGAACTGACTTCCTGGTTCATAGGTCGATGCTCAACTACTGAGCCACACCAGCCAGGCTAACATCAGCAATTTCTATCCATTGGGCCTTGTCCCAATTTAAACCATGGTGGTTTGGCCCCTGTTGAAGTCTGGCACACAGCCTGTTCCAACCCTGCCGTATCTCATCATACCACCACCAGTGGGTGCCAATTACCCTGTTTTCACTTAAGAAACATTATCCTTTCCAGTGAAAATTCCAGAATCCTGCATTTTTTTAAACTAGGAGATGTCAATGTTGTATACTCACCAGCAGAGGGCAGCTCAGTCTTTTGAAAAGAAATTATCATAAAAGTTTCAGCCCTGAAATGTGGGTTAAGTTAAACAGTTTTTCCTTTGTTCAATATGAAGATTTTCTTCCACGCTTTTTCCTTTTTTTCTTGACTACCCCTTATAATCACTTACTCTCAGCTTCAGAATTCTAGCTTCTCCTCAAGTACTTCATAAATTGAATTTCTTTTATTTTCTTTGCCCCAGACTTGAAAGGCCTTAAAAGTCAAGAGCTAGGCCGAAACCGGTTTGGCTCAGTGGATAGAGCGTCGGCCTGCAGACTGAAAGGTCCCAGGTTCGATTCCGGTCAAGGGCATGTACCTGGGTTGCGGGCACATCCCCAGTAGGAGATGTGCAGGAGGCAGCTGATCGATGTTTCTCTCTCATCGATGTTTCTAACTCTCTATCTCTCTCCCTTCCTCTCTGTAAAAAATCAATAAAATATATTTTAAAAAAAAAAGTCAAGAGCTAGGGCGCCCCGCAAAGCCTTATTTTCTATCCTAAAGTAACAGTTAGACATTGGTGCACAAATTCTACCATTGAACCATAAGATGTAATGTAATATCCAGAATGTACTTTTCTGGTCTTTCCTGTTGCTTACATAACTATGTGCTTAGTTGAGCTTGTGGTTATTCTTGCTGACAACAGCCTTGCTATTTTCAAGGAAAGTTCGTGATCCCAGGGCCAACTTTGACCAATCTCTGCGGGTCCTGAAGCACGCCAAGGAGGTTCAGCCTGATGTCATTTCTAAAACATCTATAATGTTGGGTTTAGGCGAGGATGACGAGCAAGTATATGCAACAATGAAAGGTAAAGGAATTGAAAATTAAAACTCTTTCCCATTTCATTTGAATAATAGCAGGAACCTCACTTTTTTTATTGATTTCAAAGAGGAAGGGAGAGAGAGAGATACAAGCATCAATGATGAGAGAGAAGCATTGATCGGCTGCCTCCTGCACACCCCCTACTGGGGATCGAACCCACAACCTGGGCATGTGCACTAACTGGGAATAGAATCGTGACTTTCTGGTTCATGGGCGGATGCTCTACCACTGAGCCACACTGGCTGGACAGGATCCCCACTTTGAAGGCCCCATTATGATTCCCTCCATAATCTCAGTGAAAGTTCCAAGAATTAAGTACAGTATATGCTTAGAAATAGTAACACAAAAAGGGAAGGATGTATGTTTTCTTAGAATTTTGTGGAATGATATGCAGGAAGGTCAAGATATGAAATTTGCATCCCATTTTATTTCCTACCCTTGTATCAAGTAAAAACATGATTTTGTTCACTTGTTCAGTTAGACAATTTTTTAGAGCCATCTAGGTACCAGGAGCTCTGGCCAGCACTGACAGTTCAAAGATGAGTAAGATGAATCCAGGCCTTTGAGAAAGAGCTTACTGGCAACATTGTCACATAACATGATATATTTTGGACTTTGCTAACCTTAGTCCCGTGAGCCCATTTGCTTTGTGATTCTTAGGCTTTTTAAATTTTTAAATATAACAGCTTTTATTTTACCTGAAAGTCCTTGGCCTTCTTGTAGCTATTTATTGTTTCAAAGAGTAATGAGTTCAAATAGTAATTAAAAACTTCTCTTTTCCACAGTTCATAATGTTTTACTAGAAAGATTCCAAAGTCAAAGATCAAATCACATCCCCAGTGCATATCTTGTACATTTACCTAAAGCCTTATATAGCATGTCTGGTCTACAATGTGGGTGTTTTGGGGCCTTTAATATACTGTTCTCTTCATCTTTTCTGCCTAACAGACTCCTGCTCTAGACACTTTCCAACCCTATTTTAGCATTTATTCTATAGTACTGGAGTCATTCATCTTTATTTTTTATTTTTTTAAATATATCTTTTTTTTTTTTTTTTTAATATATTTTACCGACTTTTCACAGAGAGGAAGGGAGAGAGACAGAGAGTCAGAAACATCAGAAACATCGATGAGAGAGAAACATCGATCAGCTGCCTCCCGCACATCCCCCACTGGGGATGTGCCCGCAACCCAGGCACATGCCCCCGACCGGAATCGAACCCGGGACCCCCGAGTCCACAGGCCGACGCTCCATCCACTGAGCCAAACCGGTTTCGGCAATTTTTTTTTTTTTAAATATATCTTATTGATTTTTTACAGAGAGGAAGGGAGAGGGATAGAGAGTTAGAAACATCGATGAGAGAGAAACATCGATCAGCTGCCTCCTGCACACCACCTACTGGGGATGTGCCGGCAACCAAGGTACATGCCCTTGACTGGAGTTGAACCTGGGACCCTTTGGTCCACAGGCCGATGCTCTATCCACTGAGTCAAACCGGTTAGGGCTGGAGTCATTCATCTTTATATCAGCCCCCCATGATTGTCTTAATCATTCCTATGTTTTCAGTCCTTACTATATCTCCTGACACATAAATACCTTTGAATGAATGGGTGCAGTCTTACTTTCCAACATCAGGATTATAGGCCAGGATAAAGTTCACACTGTTCTATAGTGAAATTACTTTCTGAAAAATTATACTTAAATGTATAATTTTAGCATCATAAAAGCATCTGCTAATATAATGTGTTGTTGTTTTTTCTCTAGCACTTCGTGAGGCAGATGTGGACTGTTTGACTTTAGGACAGTATATGCAGCCAACAAAGCGCCACCTCAAGGTACAGCTACCATGAATTGCCAGATGTTGGTAATTTTAATTAAATCTTTATTTTCCACAGGTAAAATTACAAAGCTGCTGGCTTTTCTTTAAAAATATTATTTTATTGATTTCAGAGAGAGAGGGAGAGGGAGAGAGAGAGACAGAAACAACAATGATAACAGAGAATCATTGACTGGCTGCCTCCTACACACCCCAAACTGGGGATCAAGTCCACAACCATTTATATAAAGCTCTAGAAAATACAAACTAATTTATAGTGACAAAGCAGTAAGTGGGGAGGGGTGGGAAGAAGGGATTGAGAAAACTTTTAAAGGTGATAAATACGTCCATTATACTGATTGAGTTGATGGTGTTTCACAGGTGCATACATATGTCAAAACTTAATTTTAACTTGCGTAGTTTATTACCAATTATACTTCAGTAAAGCTGCTAAAAAGCACCAATATTTTCAGAATCACTTAAGAATGAGATATATCACAAGAAACAAAATTTTGTAACTATGTATGGTGACGGATGTTAACTAGACTTACTGTGGCGATCATTCTGTAATATATACGAATATCAAATCATTATGTTGTGCACCGAAACTAATATAATGTTTTATGTCAATTATACTTCAATTTAAAAAAAAAAAGAATGAGACAGATAAGTACTGCCTTATTGACAGGCCACTACCTTTGAGTTCTTACTTCAAGTGTCTGTGGCATAGTGGAAAGAGTACATTTTCCACTTGCTTGTTCAAGTTCCACCTCTGTCACAAACCTAGTGACCTCTCAATCTTCAGTGTCCTCATCTCTAAAACGTCCCTGCTGCCGAAACCGGTTTGGCTCAGTGGATAGAGCGTCGGCCTGCGGACTGAAAGGTCACAGGTTCGATTCCGGTCAAGGGCGTGTACCTGGGTTGCAGGCACATCCCCAGTAGGAGATGTGCAGGAGGCAGCTGATCGATGTTTCTCTCTCATCGATGTTTCTAACTCTCTATCTCTCTCCCTTCCTCTCTGTAAAAAATCAATAAAATATATTTTTTAAAAAAATAAATAAAAAAATAAAACGTCCCTGCTTATTTTATATAGTTAATGAGGTGAGTGAGATCAGGCTTTATAATGTTAGGTGTCATGCAAACGTATTGTATTTAATGTTATTTACCACATCACTCATTACTTCACCTGATACATGAGACCTATCCTACTGATGTAAATTAGCACAAAGACTGATTCTTTTCAACTTATAAAGTCTCTCTATGGCAATAAGCATGCTTTAAGACCTGCTCTTTTTAATAAACAATTTAATGAGAGAAAATGGAAATAGTGAATCATTGTTCTTCTCATGTGGAAAACAACACCTTTTCTACCAACTTTACTGAATTTAGAGACTGAACAAGATAGGTATGAAATGCTTTGAAAAATCTTTGAAAACGTTTTTACAGATATTAGATGCTATTACTGTAACTATGCTTTATGTCCATGTGGCTAACGTAATACTTAGAGGTATAGGGTAATGGTGGTTCAAAGGACCAAAACACTGGTCCTCAGTATTCCGTTAATTTTAATACAAATTAAATACCTACTAAGGAAAATGAGGCTTGGAGGGGTTAAAGAGCAACAATCAAGTAAAAGAACTAATATTGCCCTAACAGATTTGGCTCAGTGGATAGAGTGTCGGCCGGTGGACTGAATGGTCCTGGGTTCGATTCTGGTCAAGGGCATGTACCTTGGTTGCGGGCTTAACTCCCAGTAGGGGGCGTGCAAGAGGTAGCTGATGGATGTTTCTCTCTCATCGATATTTCTAACTCTCCCTCTCCCTTCCTCTCTAAAATCAATAAAATATATTTTAGAAATAAAATAAAAATCTACCTATAAGTTAAAAAAAACCCTGATATTTAAATCCAGATATTCTACACTCAATAGTTTGCCCTTTTTACTGTGCTCTCAAAATTGCTTATAATCACAAAAGCACTCAATACTAACAAATCACGTCACCTATGTGCTCTATATATATTTACTTATGTCTATTTATATAATCCTATCTAATAAAAGAGAAACATGGTAATTAGCCGTAACTCCGCTACCCTTCCCATTGGCTAATCAGGGAGATATGCAAATTAACTGCCAACCAAGATGGCCGCCGGCAGCCAGGCAGCTGACGCGAACAGATAAAACTCATTGGCTACGATATTGCTACTGCACAAATCTGAAATCAATAAAAATAGGTTTTAAAAATATTTTCAGCTTTAAATGTTTAATGCATTATTAGCATGTGATACCTTGGCTAAGTTACCTGCAGACCTTATTTTCCTCATCTGTAAAATAAAGGTAAATTCATCTCTAACTCAAAAAATTGTGATAAGCCCTAGCTGGTTTGACTCAGTGGATAGAGCGTCAGCCTGCGAATTGAAGGGCCCCAGGTTCAATTCCAGTCAAGGGCACATGTCCGGGTTGCCGGCTTGATTCCCAGTAGGGGGTGTGCAGGAGGCAGCTGATCAGTGATTCTACTGGTTTCCATCTCCCCCTCCCTTCCTCTGAAATCAATAAAAAAATAATTAAAAAACAAAACAAACAAAAATTGTTATAAGGATTTCATGAGATAAATGTTTACACAAAGATCTTATCAGCATAGTAGCTGGCAGGTGATGGGCACTCCTGTTAAACCCATGATGAGCTGGTCCCACTGAACCAGAACCACATTTAGGTTCTGGAATCCCTAAGAACAGTAACACTGAGCATTATAGGACAGTAACTGTGCTAAGCCCATTGGGTGCATTTTCTCATCCATTTCTCACATAATTCCTTAAAGATATAAGTCCTATCCTCATTTTCAGATGAAGGGCAGAAGCTTAGAAAGATTAATAACTTGCTCAAGTCAGAACTGTTTGAATAGGAGCTTTTCTTAGTTGAAAGCATCCTAATTTTAGAGGTACTAATATGAGTGAGTACCTATGGCCTTAGGCAGAATCCTATCTAATAAAAGAGAAACATGGTAATTAGACGTACGGCCGCTACCCTTCCCATTGGCTAATCAGGGAGATATACAAATTAACTGCCAGCCAAGATGGCGGCTGGGAGCTAGGCAGCTTGAAGCTAACAGGGAGGCTTGCTTGCTTCAGTGACGGAGGAAGCCAAGCTTCCCTGCCTGCCTTGCCGGCCTCTGAGCTGCAACTCTAAGAAACATTGTAACAAATATAGAAGTTAAACTAAACCCCAGAAACCTGCTTTAGTCAGCCAGGCTTCAGCCAGCAGGACCGCAACATTGTTTCAAATACAGAAGGTAAACAAAGGCCAGAAACCTGCTTTCAGCAGCCAAGGCCTCAGAGCTGGAGCCGAGCCTGAGCTAAAGCTGGCCCAGAATTTAAAAAAAAAGAAAAAAAGGACAGGTTGGGAGCTTCAGTCACCCGCCAGCCTGAAAACGGCCCTCAGCCCCTCACCCAGACTGGCCAGGCACCCCAGTGGGAACCCCCACCCTGAAGGGGGTGTGACCAGCTGCAAACAGCCATCATCCTCTCATCCAGGCTGGCGAGGCACCCCAGTGGGGACCCCCACCCTGATCCAGGACACCCTTCAGGGCAAACCAGCCGGCCCCCACCCGTGCATCAGGCCTCTATCCTATATAGTAAAAGGGTAATATGCCTCCCGGCACCAGGATCAGCGGAGCAGCGAGGCCTCCCAGCACCAGGATCAGCGTGACAGAGGGCAGCGCCCAAACCCCCTGATCGCCCTGCGGCTCTGTGTGTGACAGGGGGGCGGGGGCCACAACCTCCCTATCCGCCCT